AAATACGCTTCTTAGACAGTCGCTGCTGGCATAGAAAGTGACATGGCATTTGTTTTTAACGGAGTTAAATGTATGAATATGACCATTCAGATTGTTGCTTAGAAAGCAAATGTTTGCTAGAGTCTTGTTTTCCTCACTGATATGCATAAATTGTAAAAGAGGATACATAAGCAGATTAGTTGAGGGCAAACAATACATTAAACGTCATTGTCCATATCCTCAAGAAGTCTCTCTAAATGCCATGGAGTGTAATGCAAAGTTATGTCCTTTAATGCATTGTAAGTGTGCCTTACATCTTCATTTTATTGTAACAGTGTGCAAATTCAGAGTGTAGCCATTACATTTGGAACCGATGTTTCGGTGTTTTGTCAAAAAAATGGAATTATATGGGCATAATGAAGGATGCCAATATTCGCTCTGACTTACAGGCAAACTGTTTCATTTGCATACGTCATTCAGTCTGAACCCTGAGATCTTCTCGTTGTTCTTCCTCATCAATTTATCTGTAAAGAGTATGTATAAAGATGTTTTGTCTCTCTGTAGCTATTGTGAATATCTCATTATTCATTAAATACATATTAACAAGGAATAGGGATGGATATTAACAAATGTTTGAACTTAGTTTCACCTATTTTAAGAGATCATGATAATGAGCCATACTGTTTGTTATGAAGCAGGTCATTTCTAAGGTTACAATGAAATCTCCTTTGTTTGCCTTTTGTTAGTGTATAGAGGAAGAACACAGAGTTACTGGAAGACGAAAAAGAAAAAATATCTTAATGATTTCTGAATGCACTTTTCTTGAAATACTCTTTGTGCTTTTAAGTAGAAAATGACAGTGATAGCTGTCTCATGCATTACCTGTCTTAGTTTAAAAATTATGCTTCCCTCCTGTGTGTGTTTACCATTGTTTCATGTGATGATGTTTCATGTTTTATTGGTCGCAGCTGAAGCTTCAGCTGAACCTTGTCCCCACAGCACAATAGTGTGTCATCTCAAAGGTGTAAATGCATAGCATCATAATGGGGGAAAAAAGTATTCAATTTATAGAAACAAAACAATTTCATGATCAACCTCTTTATGAGCCTCCTTCAATGGCTAATTTTATCATGCTTTCTACAACAGGATCAAGATTGTTGCAATAGAACCATTGCGTTGGAAATAGTCTTTAAAGGCTCATAAATCCTTCTGTGAGTTGGCAAGGGATTTGACAATTCCTGAATCATCCAAAGACAATTATCAAATCTAACATGGCTCTCTCTTCTCCCTTTTTCCTTCACATTAAATCTATCTAGCTATCTTTACCTCTCCTCTGAGGTTTTATTTTCCAAACCATTTACTTGTTATTGTTATTCAGCTTTAAACTGTCTCCAGTTTATCTGTGTCTTTTCCGACATGTGGTACTCAGAACTGAAAGCAGCATTTTCTAGCACTGTAAGCTCATGTCATTTCATTGTGGGTAAACCATTTGCAGCCTGACTTTGGTACTTTCTCCCATCTCTTTTAGTGATTGCATGGCTTTGCCAGTGCATGAAAGCGTTTGGGCTGCTAGCCAGAGAGACGTGCCTAAAAACCTTAAGCTGTGCTTCTGACAAGTCTAATAAGCAGGCTACTTTCTGGTCTTGGTGTGCTGGTTAAGGTGAACCGCATAAGCTAGAAAGGCCATACAGCATTGACAGGTATTAGCTTCCCAGCTGGCATGATGCTGAATTCAATTCTACACGTTATGTTTGGCTGGTTTAGGGTAGCACCGCATGTAGCCAGCGGAGAAAATAATTCAATTTCAATCATATAAGGACACTTTACATAGCTTTTTTTATAAATACAGACAGATGTAAAAATGATTCACTGATCAGGCCAACAGCAATAAGAAAAATAAGTTCATATTATTGTACTAGCAAAATGGGGAGGGAAGCAAAAATTAGCAAAAACCTGATTTAATTGTTACTTGCCATGCCTTTTTTTTTCCTTTGCGTCATTGCTAATATCTGATCAGATGTTAGATTTTTTGGGAGCTAACTGGGTTTTTTCCTATATCGTGTAGCATTTACCAGTCTGATGATCAAGATTCCTAGAGCTTTCCTATATCTTAGTATAAGTTAACTTTGAGACAAAGGCTTTCTTTCACACAGCACAGTTGTTACAAAAGAGCAGTACCCATAGGAATGCAACCAAGTATAAGAATTGGTCCCATTGTTTACCTTTAGTGTTGATGAGCCACATCTGAACTTGCGTAGTCCTTCTGCATATGTTTAGGAGCATGTGTGTATATCAGACTAAGTCCTTCGTAATTATTAGATGTTTCTTCAGTCCAAATCATAACTTGGAGGAAGCCTTGTTACAGAGTGAATTACTTTATGTGCAGCTTTGTTTCCTGTGCTTCTGTAATTGCTAATTATGTGTAGTAGTGATATTATTGAAGGTCATATCACAGTTTCAGAGTGGAAGTAGTGCAGTCATTCATTCACGGAATATTCTCAATTTCTTTCTGCTACTTTAAACACAGAAGTTGATGTAGCATAGTCTGATTTACTGGCACTTCTTTATAGTCTGCATATTTTTGAAGCATAAAAATGTAGTATTCTGCTGCCTGTTACTGATGTGAAAAACAAGGGAAATTGTTTCCTCTGAATTCACCTACGGTATGACTGTGTTTAGCCACAAGTCTGACAAACATACCAGTACGGTATCATCTCACCAAAATAAATTGTCTAATGGTAGCAGAAGACGGGTTCTTTGTCAGACAGAGAGACTAAGACAGTATTGCTTCTGAATCTGAGATTCAGAAGGATCACATTGTTTATCACTAACCAGTCTTTCTTATTTTAAAAATCAAACACATAAAAACTTCCCATCGTAACAATTTTCCCTGTGACTCTTGTTTGCTACTGCTAGTTTCCACTTTTAGATCTGTTGTCGCTGCCCCGCACAGGCGGTTTTTACTCGAGCAAGATGGATATAGTAGGGGAGAAATGCTGCTGGGTGGCTGGCTGAGATGCTGAAGCATACTGACCAGCTGCAAAAGACAACAAACATTAACACTTTTTTCCTCCCCCCTCAATTACATCAAGTGGTAGCATACTGAGACTGATACACCAAATGTTTTACTGTACTCCAGCAGTTATAGGCATCAAAATTATCAGATTGGTGTGAACCACAAAACATCAGTTTAGCAGTATAACCTTGAAGAGAGCAAGTATGCATATATGTTAACTAAATGTGTACATATAAATGGAAATAATGCTTCCTGGCAGCAGAAAGGCAGCTCTCAGCATTGAAACGTATGCTGTGCTAAGCGTTGTACAGATGCTATCTATTTACAGTCCACTACATCAGACAACAGCCAAAGAAATAAGGACGTATTAGGTGTGCATAACATACTGATAAACACGTACCGGTATTGCTATTTCTTTATGAAAATACAGACTGGCACAAGTATTGCATCTCATGCCCTATGCCAACAGTCAGTGGGCTCATTAGGTGCCCTAGCATAATCAGCAGCATGCCATAGGAAAGGCAGCACAGGGCACTTGGCCCCTGTCATGTCTGGAAACATTTTACACCCTCTGCTACAGCTTTATCTAATTACAGGCTAAGTTAACTTCAAGAGGTTGAAGCCCTTCCAAGTCACTGCATCCAGTACTCCATTACTGCAGGAAATACACCATAATCTCTTTTACCAGTTAATAAACTACATCTCTAGAGCACCAGTGGTTTTGCTACAAATTGGAAGAGTGTTCGAGAACCCCAGTGCCCTAATGGCTAGATACCATCTCCTAGTTTGCAGTTGAAATTTCCCAGTTAACATCCATTTGTTCTTGTGCCAGTGTTGTCCATTAGCGCAGATATTCACTTAGCATGGCAGAAGGCTATCTCCTTGATGTATTTATAGCCCAGTGATATCCCCTGTCTTCAGTTTCCTGGACTAAACAAGCCAAATTATCGTAGTCTTCACTTTTTAAATAGGCTCTCTACTTCTCTGATCATCCTAATAACCTTTCCTGCATTCATTCTGGACTCGTAATCTGAGTTGAGTGATCAGACTTACACAAGCTTTCTACACAAAGCATAGCTGTGCCTTCTATAATGATATTGATACATTTCTAATTTCTACTTCTTTCTGCATAAAACCAAGCATTGCTTGTGATTAAAGACTAAAAGGCACTAGCATTCTATGTTTAATGAAGGCGTTTTGAGAAAGCGACTGTCGTGCCAGCTGTGTTTCAGATGGCTGCAGTAAGCATGCTTTCTATTCAGTACACATTTCAGAATTTTCGTGATCTTTTCTGGCCCAATCGTTTTTCATCTCAGAATATAAAAATGGGTTAATGCTTACCTGGGAAGTACAGTAGAAGTAGCTCTTAAATAACACCTCTCTCCTTTCCTTTTCTTCTCTGTTAATTGTTTTAGGAGGTGCTGGCCAAAATTGTCAAACTAGAGGTTTGTTTGGTCTTGAAATAAAACAGTCTGGTTCCCGAGGTGCCTACTAGTTACAGTATCCCGAGTTCAGTAGTATTTCTGAATACTCACCATTTATGTCAGAACAAAGCTTTTATTTTACTTACAGTTGTAGATTTAAGCATGATGAAGTTTGACAATTTTGTCCACTGTATTTAATATTTTTAATATGAGGAAGTTTTTCCCATGTCCTGATTTATACTCATCTCAAATGTGCAAAAAGATGTGCATTTCTGTCAGCGGCAACTGAGCCTCCAGTACCCCTGAAAGGTTTACAACTGCAAATGCTTCAGTTCCATCAGGTCTGCCAACAACAGCCAACCTTCAACGTCATGCCATGGTCGTCGGGTCACGCTAACCTGCCTGAAACAAACTTCGCTTTCATTGCAGATAAACATCTGCTGTTGTCCATGTGACATTGATTAACATGTATGTGCCATTCATTCATACTTCTGTTCATGCTTCATTTTTACTAAGCATGTAATGTGCTATTACTCTGCTGCGGTATACATTTTGTATACATTTCTGTTCTTCCTTGAAAGACTGCGAATGCTTCGGGCACTCCAACCGGTGCAGTTACATCGAGCTGCTCAATACGGTCATTTGCGTGAGCTGTAAGCACAACACTAGAGGTCAGCACTGTGAGTTATGCAGGCTGGGCTACTTCAGAAATGCTTCTGCAGAGCTGGACGATGAAAATGTGTGCATAGGTCAGTCCCGGGATAACTGCGGCTTTTCTTCTGTGCCTTTTCAGCTACTGGCAGCTGCTAGGGACCACTGCTGCTTACTTGCCAGTCAAGCCAGAATGAGCTTTTTCAATGGATAAGAACATCTGTGTAGACTTTTCACCTTATTTCTGTTGCCCCTGTAGCCCCAAGGAGGTATTTTGAATCTGTGTATGATGATGAACCTCCCTGGCTAAGGGTCCTGGGAAGATTTTCCCCAGAAGCCCCTGAGAAACTGACTGTGCTGTCCTTCTGCAGGAGAGAGCCACACTGGAGTTGCGCATGTGAAGACTGAAGGGCTGAGTCATAAATACCTGTTCCCAGTCTAACTTTCGGAATTATTAGTACAGAATCTTGAATACTTGCCTGGAGACCTACAAAAGTTGCCAGCTGCATCAATAGGACATGGGGAGTGGTGCTTATTAACCCCTTTTTATGCACTTCAATTTCATAAAAACACGTTGCTGCTAATTCTGCTCCCAGGCACAGGGCTGTAAATGCAGTGTTACCTCCCCTCTCCTTATAGGAGAAACTGAAATTATGCCTGTGTGGTTAGGAGCAGAATTTGTCAAATCAGTTTGACATGATGTCAATTTAGAAAAGGGATTCCTAGGTGAAAACAGTGCTTTAGACCTAGCATCTGCTGTAAAGATCCAAAATGCAGAATTAAAGAAAATGCCTGAACATAATTAAAAAAAGCATATTAGGAAAAAATGTAAGATCTTTATCACACTAGAAGAATATGCATTGTTCTCATATCACCGCAGACAGTGTATAGCGAAAGTCAGGACACTTTAGGTGAAGACTGAACGTAGTCAATAAAGGAAGCCTCATACAATGGCAAGTAGTTAACAGATAGCCACAAAAGGCACTGTTCTAATAAAAAGCAGAGGTGGAAACCTTATTATATAATGTTTCTTATAGACATAAGCATCGGTAGAACCTGTTCTGAATTTTCATTGTGATTTTTTTTCTTTCCGTTTTCCAGGAAGCAAAAAGAAAGAGTAGTTATAAGATTTTTTTTCATGCCAAAATAGACTACAGCTGTATAAATTATATTTTAATATTCTTCATAATCCATTGCTGAGATTCAAGCCAGAAACTATTTAGTTTCAATCTGCAGCCTGACAGATTTACATTTTATTTTGTGATAAACACCCAGATCCATCCATGCACTGCATTTCACATGTCCTTCTTTTAACTTTGCTTGGCAACACATTCAGAAAATGCATGATCTCCTTTGACATTAATTAGTCTGAGCTAATAAGAACTTTAGTAGGCAAGTCATGATTTTGTATGACTGTGCTGAGGAGATTAACCCCATCAAATGTTCTTAGAAAAAACCCACTGTCCCTCATATTTATTTGATGTAGATGATGAACGTCATCAGTATGACATCAGAGCTGTATAATTTCAGCCGCCTAAATAGGCCTAATGAATATGATATTAAATTACTCTGTTTGGGATTTACCATCAGCTCATTCAGTAAATTGTTTTCCCACATACACTGAAATACTAAGACAGCAGCTACGTAAGGCAAGGAAGTTAATAAACTAGGAGTCAAAAATAAGTAAATTTTAAATTAATTTGCAAGGGGTGTGTTTAGAATGTCTTAGTAAAACAACTATGCACTTTGAAATTGCCCAGACTCTGCAGAAATAAAATTTTAAAGCCTTTCATTTAACAAGAGTCTTTAAAAAAAAAGAAAAGAAAAGGCAATGTGATGCATTTGCTGACTTTCTCACCTTAATGCAAGTGGAATTCTCTTGGGCTCCCATGAGAATTGTACCATGTAAGATGACTATAGGTTCAAACCCTGGTTTCCTACATAGTAGGTAGTTTGTTTTCAATAAATAATATTCTTATTGGACTAAGACAGTTTTCAGGATCTTAGTGATCATACTGCATACAAAATGTATGTATCCTACTTGATTTGCCAACTTAAGAAGACTTTCCTACTACTTCTTTTTTAAAGTCAGTGAAGTGAAGGAGATACCTACGCACTTTTCAGAAAACAGAGAAGTTTGTTCTTAAAGTGCTTAGGAACTGGGGCTCCTAAGATTTAATCCTGCAAAGTTTAGACTATTTTCACCTCTGAGAGAGTTGATGGATTCACCATCCTTCTAGGTCAAGTACAAAGAGTCTTGCTCTATTGGAAACGCTCATTTCTCTTTTCTCTGAGTTTAAAAGCAGTGTTTTGGGTTTTAAGTATGAGTGGAATGTTGGCATGAACATTTTAATAAGCAGATTTCAAGTGACGTGCAAGTCTTATTCCCATATGAAAGTCTCATTTTTCCAGGCTAATTCTTTCCTCTTCAGCAATATATGTAGAAAAGTAAAAAATGTTTGGATAAGCTAGTTTAATGGCAGCTAACAGGGCTTTGGATCTCATTTATCAAAACTACTTATATAGTTTTTGTAAATATATATGGTAAGTACAAGAATAACAAATCTGTGAATCTTAGCCGATGCTAACTAAACAGAGAAAATGTAAAATGTTTCATTTTTAAAACTGACAAGTGACAAAGTATTGAAATACTGAGAAGGTTTTTACCAGTGAACCCAATGCAATGCATTATACAGTGGGCTTAAATCTAATTTCATTATGCCCTTAATTTCTTCAGAAGCAAAATAAATTTTATTTCCTAAAATGAAATATCAAAATTTTGTGGATTTGTCAGCTGCAAAATTACCTCATATGGGCAACTGCAGTTTCTAAATAAATCAAGGTACTTTAAAGTTAAAAATCATTCACTTGACATGCTTACAGTGAAAGAGAATTTAACAACTCAAAGAGCTTTTTGTTTTTACAAGGTCTTGATAAAGTCTTAATAACTATTTCAGTGAATACACACACTGGCAAGCATGGATAGCATGGAAACCACCAAGTAGACCCAGAGTAATAAAACATTTCCTTTGCCTTACAACATATATACTGAAATGGTAATTATTTTCACACCTCTAAGAAAGCCAACCTTGCAGTCGCTTAGGCTTAAGCTTCAGTTAACACCTGTGAGACCTTTAGAAACCCTAACGATATATGGTTAAGTGAACCCTGAGGGTTGTCCTGTAGCCACTGTCAACCCAGACCGATAAGCAGCAAGCCTGCAAGCTTCAGCCCATTTTCCCAGCCTTCTTTTTTACTTATTTTCATTGTGTTCTGTTGGCAGCATCACGTTGATGTAGTGAATCTCAGTGAACAGATGACTACCACTGTCATCTTCCCATCCTTCAAACAGCCACCAGATGGAGGTTACAAGGAAAATTCCTTCCCAGTTCAGATTGGCAGGTTTTTTTTTTTTCCCCCATCCTGGAACCTGGTGTGTGGTCCACTTATTAGGATGATCTGGGAATGTTAATTTAATGTTATTTAATGCCCTGTTGTAAGCGCATTGGAGATACTGACTGCCTCCCTGTGGCACACTGGAATTGTGGCTTTTAAGCTTTTTAATGTCTTAAGTATTTGGCAGGTCTTGGGAAGTGTTCCACAGCCTGTGATATTGTGTTGGACAACGAGCTTGGATGTTTGGTGGACCCTTGTAGGCTATATATCTATGGTGTCAATTGTGTATTGGGAAAGACGGAGGCTAGATTCAGTTACTAAAGGTCACTGGGTCTGTGTGGTGTTCTGATTTGATCTGCTACTTTTGTAAAAGGGCCTGGCTTAAAGTTTTGTTTTGACTCCTTTCCCTTAAACAGCACAATATGGGCCTGGTACTTCTTACGTATTTATATGATAGAGTTCAGTAGGAAAGCTTTCACTGGTTCAGAGTCAGGTTCATGTTCTCTGGAAAATATAACATTATGTATCTATAAACATTCAATATCCTCGGCCATAGATTTCTTTCACAAACACTTGCCTAAATCACTGTAACTCCATTATGTCCCACTAAGCTATTTTTAATGTACAGGAATCAGGCCTTCTATTTCTAATGTAATTCCAAGCTTTTTGTCTTTCAAGGTTTTCTATAAACACTCTTCGAGCAAATTTTACTTCCTGCGCTCAATATGTATCTCAGTTCTATGCCTGTTTACATAAACCTTTCATACATCTGATTAACATCAGAATTGCCAGCTTTTCAAATGGCACTCGCTGTGCTATAATTCTGCTCAGCCTTGCACAGTATTTTTGGCATGTCAGTTTTCAACTTCATTAATGAATGTTGCTAGCTAATTGACTCTATTATTATTGTGGAACTCTGTTTGCCAAAGGTAACTATTCTTCTTCAGCATGCCAAATGTTCAAAGTGCCATCTGTAATTTATAGTTAATAAACACTGAGACAACAGATGACAAATATCTTGCTGGTAGTTTTTTTCCTGTTACAGTTTTTCCTTTGGATTTTTTTTATACTTTACATCCCAGTTCAACTCGAGTTTGTCATTTACAATATTGCTGAGGTTTAACCTAACGCTAGGGAACAGTTGCCAAAGGTAGTCATCAAGTAGCGCTGATTCACAGACACATAAAACCAGACTCTCAGCAGGTTGCCCAGATTCAGGAATCGATTTGTATATCTTTTGCCTTCCACAGCAGCAGAGATCAGATGCTGCCAAAATGTGTCTGTGGTCTCAGTTGACAGTGGAGTTACTCTGGGTCTACATGGGTCTACATACAAATAAGATACAGCCCTTCATTTAAAGATAAATAAATAAATAAATAAACTGAAGAACGGGAGTGCCAAAAATGAGCTCTGCTAGCTACTGTCTTGTCTTCTTTGTTCAGCTAGCTGAAAGCTGACCACAGATATTGCAATCCTCTTAAAGAAAAGGGCTGTGAAGGAGCAACACCGTAAGTGTTGTGGGAGGAAATGGGTTACCCCAGTCATTCTCCAATTAGGTGAACACACATGGAAAATATACAGTGGGGAGTGAGCCTCATTGCATTTTCCGTCTGCCCACTGGGAGGTGAGAGAAATGAAAATGGCAGCGTAAAGCCAGTTCTGATAAGTTCTGCATTACGTTACTGCTCACCTCAAGCTCTTC